ATCACTTAGGGTCCCCGGTAGGACAGTGAGTCCCCCATAACCACGATAGACCGGCTATCGTGGTATGCGTAATGCATTTTCCGCCTCCCTACGTACAGGGTAGCCCTTTAATTGCTTCGGGCGCCAAAAAAAAAAAAGTTCGCCACTCACTTAGCGGTCAGCCGCCGTAGAGTCTACATTACCTGAAGATGCCTCGTGTAGAGGCGAAATCACGATGCCACGTGTAGTAATATCGTCGATGGTGTGTCTTACCTGGAATAGTGGTGACGGAGTTAGTGCATGCAATTGCGGAGGCGCTCTTCAATCCAGGTGTATTTATTTAGCGGAAGTTTGCAAAGAAATTTATATTTTTATTATAATGGATTTCCGCAAAGTAACACATGATTCTATCAATTATTTAAGTCTCTTGAAGGAACCAACATGCCCAATGTGGAAACGCGGACCAAAGTCCGTTCTGTATCTACGAATTAAAACATAGATGGGCCAGCGCAGCGTTGATCTTGGTTTTATATAAGGTATAAAGCTTGCGTCTCAGGCCTAGATATCATTCGATACATTTATTTATTGTATGGCATTGTATTAAAATTATACATAAATAAATTACGGGTAGGCCTGGGTATAGAATTTTATCGATATATTTTACCACACTGTCTTATCTCTATAATTAATTCCGTGGACGTTCACTTCTGCTGTCAACGCCAAAACGGCGGAAATCAAATCGCCTCATAACATCACGGTGTATAGCCAGTCCATAGATTTAGTATATGTTTCATGGAGGTTAGAGAACAGGAGAACGATCGCTACGTACTAAAGCATAGCCTGCCTGTCCTTGAAAATTATAGTGGCGCTGCCGTCAGTGAGTAGTGGCTGCGAAGTTAGCTATTTATGAGTACAAGTAGATGAAGTTAGTTGATAATTGTACTTTTCTTCGCGGTATTGGTGAGAAAATTTTCATGCTCCATATTTTTTTAATTTTTGACAAAAAGAAACATAAATTGAGAAATATTTTATTGTGCGTAGATGTGCAAGTGGTTTAGCATCTGATCGGAAAAATAGACTGAAAATGACTTTTATTGAGCGAACTTAGCGATCGCAGCGCCTCACTTATGGTGAAATTGTGAAATGACAATAAAATTGTACCATAAAGTAGTTGAATATATTGTAAATGATATACATTACACAGTAGTATTAGTCACACTAGATAGTATTTACATTTTTGAAGTTGGCTGTTTACAATTGCCCCATTGATTTTCAATCTTCTTTAAAAAGTGGGGTAAATGTAAACCATGAAAATTAAGTTTTTTCCATAAATATGTCCATTATTATTTATCGTATGATAACTTATCACTGTTTTTATATGTTGCTTTCAGATAGAAGTGTTATTCGCAGTAAGGGGTCAATGTAAACAATGCAAAACTTGCCATAGTTACAATATGAAAGCAAAAATGGGGTGATTGATAACAATTATGATATTTCAGGGTGGTTGTAAAAAAATATCATATATATATATATATATATATATATATATATATAAATCATTTTTGAACGAACCTTTAATTTTTAATAAGATTTTGGTTCAAACACTGTTTTGTTCTTTTACGTCCGTCCTATTATTTTTCAAACATCTTCGAGCAGATTTAAGGTTTAGAGTTATTTGCTTCTTTAACCACCACATTTCTTCATTGCTAGTCAAAACTACACTAAAAGCGCTTGGCTTTAAACTAGAGAGAAGAACTAGAAACAAGAGAGATTCGTAAGTATACCAAGTATTTTTATAAGGTTCCTTTACTTGGGGATTTCGTTTTAATTTTCTTCATATTAGTAATACTACTGCTAGATGAAGTATCTGTTACAGCGGTTAATATATTATTTTTCTTTACATGAGGATTTTCGTAGCAGAGCTTTTGATACACCAACACCTATTCTATCTACGCTTGATTGTCTGCCTTTCAGTCTGTGAAATATGACAGCAGAGGGATTTTCTTAGTAATGGCTCGCTTCCTTGTATGTTCACCTTACATCTTTTCGTTTTACATCTTCGACGGACCATTGAATATCTGTTAGAGACAACGATGGACTTTCTTTATTTTTTCTTATAATTTATAGGCATGTTTACCATGTTACCATGTAAAAAGAACTTTCCAGTTACTCATCACCAAGAATACATTATTTTCAAATTGGTTACATTATTTTCAGTTAACCCGATATTTCCATTTACCCCAAATGATGTTGACATTTATACCAGTCAGAGGTGGATCAGAGTAATTACTAGCATAGATAGAGTCCTAAAATAGGAATAAAATTCTTATAACTGAAGTCTTTATACATATGACGCTTAACATAGTACAAAATAAGATATCTATGTTATTCTCACCTTCTTTCTTTTACAGGATGTTACCATTTTTCTATTCCATAGACACCTCTATTGATGCGCCATTAGCGAAACAAAAAATGTTGTCGATAAATTCATTTAGTCTATGATTTAGTAAAATTAAGGATTTTAATTTATCCCGTACCTAATACTTATCTATATTAACGAAAGTTTATGGAAACTTCATCTGACATATAATATATAATTAAAAATATAACGTGAAAATAACGTGCGGGAAATAGAGTAAATGGGGCCCTGCACTCTATTGTGAAGAGTCAAAATGTGTCGAAAAAGGCACGTATGGCAATTCACAATGCTGTGTTGGTCCCTACTTTAACATATGGTAGTGAAAGTTGGGTGTGGCAGAAGAAGCACGAGAGTAGAATGAACGCAGTAGAAATGCGGTCGTTAAGGAGTATGTTAGGGCTGAATCTTAATGACAGGGTAAGAAATTGTGTAATAAGAGAAGAGTGTGGTTTGCAAGATGATGTTGTGACCAGGATTAAGAAAGGAATGCTTCGGTGGTTTGGTCATGTGGAAAGAATGAATGAGGAAAGAGTGACAAAGAAAATTTATGTTGCAGAAGTGAATGGCAGAGTCGGAAAGGGACGTCCTAGGCGAAAATTTATCGACCAAATTGGCGATTTATTGAAAACGGGCCAAATTAGGAGTACCCTTAACCGACGAGCATGTATGCGGAGGTGTATGGATGTGAAGGAGGCGAGAGAGGTGTGTCAGGATCGTGCCAAATGGAAGTCTGTAGTCTCTGCCTACCCCTCTGGGTGACAGGCGTGAGTGTTTATGTATGTATTATGTATGTATAACGTGAAAAGTTCACTATGATTTACCTCAATTCAGCTTATATATTTCTGCCAAATTATCCCTAGACTTAGTATGGGTTTCACAAGGAATAATAACTGTGTTTGTGTAATCGACACTTAGTTTGTGTCACGGGACGTACACAGAAGGCACAGCTACAACAGTTTTTTTATAGTATAAGGGTGCCGAACGAGCACACAGTCCAGCTGATGTTAAGCGGATGCTGTGACCCATAGACAGCTTGCAGTTGCGTTGTTAAGGACTAAGATGAAATGCCTCGTTTCCAGTAAAAAGGGTCACTGGTTCTCTACACTCAACACAACAGCCTTAAGCTGCTATTTTACGCTGTTATTCTGTGAGGGCGTGGTACTACCTCGGTCGAGTAAACCCATTCGTGCTACAACTATTATAGCTGCAGCGTGGCTTTACCACGTAAAGTAGTATAGTGACATAACAGTGGCACGATCGCGACCTGCCTTCTCTTTTGTAGCTAGATCACAATTCACAACTACTAAATTGTAACTATAAATTCATACCAATAAATCGATTACGAAGTTACTACCCGTTTTCTCTCTGCACATTCAAGATCTTATCCATCATTAATTTATCAAATATAGCCAATCACTGCTGAACATAGGGAGAACATTTTCCATAGTACCCTTTCTTAGCAAGTGGTTTGGCAAACGTTTTTATAGGAGAAGGGTGACAAACAAGCACACAGTCCACTTGATGGTGTGTGATTGTTGTGGCCCATAGACAGCTACTCCTCGATTACGAATCAAAAAGTCCATTTGTAATCCCAATTTTATATCCTGCCTAACATCCGCCTAGGCTTTGCAAGACTATTTTCTAGATCTTGACCATGAACGTTAGAGAACAGAAGAACGATCGCCGTAGAAAATAGAGTGTCTGTGTCTGTCAGGACTTAGTATTGATACCTCCCTAATTATTAGTTTTTGCTTGAATTATACTCAACATATTTCAATAGATTTGTCTATTTTGCCTTATTCGCAAATTAAATAAGAAACAGCGAAACAAGTATATTGACTCAATTTATGTTGAATTGTATGTTCTCACTACGCATATGTATGTATGTAATTACTCTGAGCTACCTAGAGGGAGCGCGTTCGGCCAACGTGTACTGGAGCCTAGTGTGTGAGTGTGTAGTAGCTTGCTACATATTTATTTATCTATGGTGTGTAGTGGAGCGAGTGTAGGGAGGTGGACTTTTATCCATGGACAAAATTTACGTTAAGTTCTATGCATTTTAACTTAAGTAAACTGTGACAACTGCGGATTTCATAGTAGTAAAAATCAACGTATATTAATAATTAATTATTTTACTATTCGTATTAAGCTATCTGAAAAAAATTCTTTAAATTTCTAAATACTTTACACAAGTTTGCAAAGGAACGTATTAAACTTCAAGTAGAAACGTGTACCGTGTAGTCATATGTTTAACCAATTATCAACCCTGTAATAGAAGAAATACAGCTTAAATTCGATAAGTTATTACTTCCCATGTTTCATAGTTTCGAAAGCAAAGCGAACTGAATGAGAATATGTGACGTGTCTTGTCAACTTGTCATAATCATCGGTATCAAGCAACAGAAAGTTATGCAAAATTATTAACAATTACTATATTTATGCGATATTTCATAGCTCAACATAGCTGTAAACGTTCCTTACAATGTATTCAGTTTTAACAAGAGGAAACGCAATATTAACCTATACCTTAAGTGTATTAGCATGTTTAACATTTTTGTGTTTTTTATCAACAATAACGGTGGATTATAGGACTTCTGCTCATATGAACGCTGTAAAAGTAGTTGTGTAAGTATACAACATAATAAATCACTTTAACAACATGTGTAAAAGTTTACTGGAAATTATTGAGAATTATTTATTCCAGCTTAATAAAAAGTTTTAAATAATAACGCTGCTCTGTTTAACAATTTTACGTAATAATTTGTTTTAGAACCTGTTAAAACAGGAGATTCTGCATTAACATTTTTCCACACCAAATCCCTTTTCAGAATAGCTTACTCATATCCTAATTTTTTATAAAATAGCTTGCCAGTCAGACGTTGTACTGCTCTTTTCGACGACCCTTTGTCATGTCCTATTAAAAATCCTTATTTTCGCTATAAAATTGTGGGTCACTCATAGGCAATAAAAACTATCCTATCTCTCAAGTTGGGTCAAACTGCATACAGTGTGCAAATTTGATTAAAATTGGTTAAGTAGTTTAGGAATCCATTGCAGATAAATGTGACACGTAATTTATATATATTAAGATATGTCAAGGAAAACTATTTTGGTATTTTAAATGTTTATGTGACTATAAGATATAAATTTGATGTTGATATGTAAGGCTGATAATTATAACTTCATTTTTCAGTAAGAATGTTCCAGATTATGGAGCCTCTAGAGAAAGAAATGATCTTGGTTTTTTGACATTTGATCTCAAAACAGATCTGTCACACCTGTTCAACTGGAATGTTAAGCAGTTGTTTTTGTACCTCACAGCTGAATATGTTACGCCTAATAATGAACTCAACCAGGTTGTACTCTGGGACAAAATTATCTTAAGAGGAGAAAATGCTGTACTAGATTTCAAGAATATGAACACTAAATACTATTTTTGGGATGATGGAAATGGTTTAAAGTAAGTATTTAATGTTGTCATTATATTATGATCAGCCCGTTTTGACTGCCTCATTGGTCTAGTGGTTGTGTTGTAAGTATGACTGCTGATCATGGAGTCCTAGGTGTGAATCCCGGGTCACACCAGTTCAGTTATTAAATTTTCTGTCTTGAAATTCTCAATAGCAGCCCAGGTTCAGTAAGATGGGGTTGTTTCACACCTATGCATTAGGAAGTACATAAAGTGGGTAAACTATAGACATATGGTGCTAACATACTGTGTTGGGAGGGGTATATACTATATAGGGGTAATATACATTTCTACAACGGAGGAAGCTTAGGGGGGCTTCCCATGATACCCTCTCATGGGAAGCCCCCCTAAACTTCCCCCGTTGTGGAAATGTATATTTTATGAATAATAATTTTTTTTTTTTTGTAAAATTATAACCTCACTTTTTTATACAGGAATATTGACACTTAAGTTACTTCTGCAATGGCCATACGGTTTTGGGAGGGCGGGAGAAGGGAGGGGCGAGGTCATGGGAAGCCCCCCCTACCCTTACCGCCGTTGCGGAAATGTATAGTTTATGAGTAATAATTTTTTTTGTAAAATCATAATCTCACTTTTTTATATACGAATATTGATGCAAAGTTATTCTGCAACGGCTTCGACACTGCGGGAAGTGTAGCCCCTTCACCCTTGCATAGCAAATCACAGGCACCGAAGTGAGCCGCAGTGGCTGAGGCTGGTCGCCGTAGGTGACCAATAAGCCGAAGCTGTGGAGACGAGCAGCAAGCGGGTGGAGGCTGCGCTCCCTCCATGCCTACGGCTCTACAAAAACACTCTAGGGGTAGGGCAGACAAGACAGGGTGCTAATTTGGTTTTTGAACCGATTTGACCAATCTTATCTATCAAGTCTGGTTGCCCTAAACTTTGCAATGATATTGGTAAATGAAATAATGTAATGTGAATTGTTAGAATATTGTTTTCTGAAAAACCTCTTGACTGCTCACCACTGCAACTCAATTTGTTGTATATAAGTCCCTTCTCCAGCCGCAAATAGACATTTCCGAAATCCCAAAACAGTGTAAATGGTTCGAACTTAACCCTGACCATACTCCTAAATTGAAAACAAAATTAAAAAATCAAGTACCGGACATCTACTTCACAATGCAAGAACAAATTGACATATTTGCTTTTCGATATTATACAATTTTTAATGAAATTTGTTTTTATCGTAATTAATTCAAAACGCATTTGCGACATCTAAGAACAGTGTAATAGATTCAAGCTTAACCTTAACAAGCCTCCTAGACTAAAAACATTATCAAAATCAAGTACCAGATGTCTATAGCCAACCCCTTAAAGCCTTTGGTCCAGTCCCTTATCTCACTTCAATCTTGCTGGATTGCTAGCCCTATTATACTTTGAGAATGTGGGAATAAATAGTGCAGCTATGCTTGCAAATACACTTTGGAACTATAACCTACCACAGATGGCTAGTCTCCATTAAGAGCGACCATGACCAAACTAGTCCGGAAGGCATTATTATTATCATTAGCAATATCAGTTATAACCATGTTAGAATACTCCAGCTCTTAGATTAAAAAAAACATAGTGATGTGAATTTAGAATTGTATCTATTTCATGGATATATTTCATGTTATTCATAGAATAATAAATACAATTGGTAATTAATGAAATGGATTAGGATATAGTTTATACAATACAATGAATTGGTGTCATCAATCAGCATGGTGCACCAAGCTACACCTAAAATATCATACCACCTAGCAGTATTTCAATAGTGCAAAGTCTGTGCCCCATCGGGCTTTACCCTAAAAAAGTAGGCTACACGCATACATTCAAATGTGGATGGCGGATAGACTAGGTACGACTAATCGCATGATAAATGTTATATTTTTTACTTGTTATCTATATATACTTTGGTGTAATCACTATTTCACAAAACTGACAGTTACCCTTAACACCTTTACTTACTGGCAGTGTTACAAAACAACTGACTAATCTATCGTCACAGCGGCCTTTTATACAATTTTAATAATATCCTAATAATGAACATTAATATTCTTATTACTATAAATATTGCATTATAAATTATAAAATAACTGTCGATCAATATAGCAACGACTAAACAATAATAAAGATTGTTTATACACATTTAATAACATTAATCTTAGGTTCGCCGGAAGCTGACAAGCGGAAGGCGGCAGTTATTATTTAATCATCATTAATTTATTAAGTATTATAAAAAATAGGTTATTAATCTAATAAAGGTTTTGTAATTCTCTGGGAAATTAAAATAAACTTAATTATGCGACGAGCTCGTGAACCCAGGACCGGAAGACGATAACAATTCATTAAGTCTGTCATAAATAGTTACAATCCATATGATAAATGTTCATAGGTAACTTTTTAGTCATAGGGTTGTTAGTCTATGAAATGATATTTGGTGCTATTAAACTACTGAATCCTTCTTAAGTGTAGACAGTTTTACAACTTTAATTATGACATAGATGTTAAAATCAATAGCTTAACATTGATGCTTAATGTTTATTTAACACAAACATGTTGGATCTTTTTAAAAATAAATACTGGAAAGGGAGGAATTTTACAGTAATTTTTAAATTACAATGAGATTATGAAAATTCTACTGCTAAAGTTTTGATTTGTGATCTTTCCCAACATGTTTATAACAACAATGTGAACAATAGTAACACTTATACTCTTTATATCAAGTATATGAAAGTTATAGATGCAACTTTCAATTTGCCAAATTTACATTGAAAGTTTTTTTTTCTTCAATACTTAGATATTTTTTTCAATAGATTTAAGCAAACTATTTTTTTTGTGTTACAGGGGACATCAAAATGTGACACTAACACTTTCATGGAACATTATTCCAAATGCTGGTCTTCTTCCAAATATTCAGGCCATTGGTCAGCACTCCTTCAAATTCCCTACAGAATACACCCAGACAAGGGTATGATGGTACAGTAAGAAGGGAAACTTTGTGTAGATGGTACTTATAAGAAGTTAAAGATCATCTAATATATTACTTTATTTATATTGGGGTTTTATGTTTTATTACCTTCCCTGTAATGTCAATTCCCTAAGAAATCATTTTCTTTACCAAAAATAATGAAATAAGATCAGATATACAATACATCATATTAAAATTATGATAGCATCTGCATGTCTGAGAAATTGGAAACATTTAGAGAACAAGTGAACTGTGAAGTCTCCCAACATTGTATTATTGCAGTGTACCCTGGTTCAAAAACCCTATCAGAAATGACAGGTAACCTGTGCCCAACTGTGGGGCGTAATATGTGAACTATTTTTTTACTTTGGGGGACTACTATTATTATAAAAACGTAATTACTATCCATTTATTATAACAAATAATTTACAAAATGTAAAATGCCATTTGGCAATCACAGTTCTTTTTAAACTATTCAGTCCAAATGCAGTTTTTTTTTTAAATTGTTATAAACCAGTGCTTGACTTAACTACAGCCACCTGATGTAGCTGAAGATAATAAAGAGCACAGTATTAACTAAACACAAGCCTATTCACTCTTACTTTGAAGACACCCCGCTCAAGTAAGCAACCATACTTCATACTTGTCAAATGTATTCTCAACAAATAACCATTGTTTCCGCAAGTTGATCAGTTTCTTGCAAAGAAATAAAATTAATTCCAGGATGTGGTGGTTGGAATCACTTCATAGACTTTGTAGAGTCCAGATTCCCAGATTTCTATGTCCAGAAATAGGTTATAGTATACCTTCGGTGAAATAAATATTATTTTTCTTAGAAATAAAGGTGTTTAGAATTTTCAACATCATACAATTTCATAATTTAACCCCTAATGTTTATTTCCACCACTGTCAATTAATCAATTGTTTTAATTCTTCCTTAACAACACTATCAAAATGTATATTGTATATTTTCTGTAAATGTATATTTTCATGAAGCAAGGTGGGAATTGTTGATATCGCTTGATCTAAAACAGAAGAGTAATGATGCCAGTCTGCTTTTAACAAACTAAATTTTAACCTGAGGTGAAATTAAGAATTCACTTGTGTAGAGTCAACAGATGTGACTATAATTGGATAGTGATCACTACCATGTGAATTTGGTAATACATTAGGATCAGGAATATATACAGACAGAAAAGATATGTTGAGAGCCTTGACTCATACTTGACATATCATATCCAGATTTTAATGATTGGCTGTAGGTATGTTTAAGGATAAAATTTTTTTTTTATATGACGAAGTTTGTGAAAGCTGAACAAAAGGGGTTTATAGGCTATCAGTTATAATAATAATAATAATAATAAATCATTTTATTTTCTCTTCACAAAGGTATATAATTTCGCATTATTTCTTAAATAATACGATAGTAGATAATTTTGACCTTTGTGAGAGACTGGTGTCCATACTAGGGTAATCCCTGTGTTATAGATCACCAGGCCCTCACCCTGACGGATAGCACGTATTACATTTTCAAAAATACTACAAGAGAAATACAAAATAGGAAATATTTCAACAAGGAAAGATTCTATATGTTTTTTTTTAAGTTATTTCTATATGTAGTTCTATAATAGTGTGAATGTGTACGTGTGTGTGTGTGTGAGTGTATGTGTGCACTCATTTGTGTAGGGTTATGTGTTTTTAGGATAATACTCTCAGTAAATTTTCAGCAGCCATATAATCGATATTTAGCAACCACTTCTGTAATTTTTGTTTACATGCATGTTTTAGTAGAGAGTAAATTGACAGAAGTTTATTTAATTTATTATAAAGGTAACCTCCCAGGAAGCAAAAATGCTTATGCGAAAATTTTGTCTTTAGAAGCTTACTGGGACAAACTACATATTTCCTTCTTTTGTCAATATTATAGGAGGACTCATACTGTATAAGAGAATGTTGTAGCAGCGTAGTGTGCAATATAAACAGTTTACGAACAGATAAGACATTACAATGTTGATAGAGGTCAGTTGTAGGACAACGGAATGGAAGAGAATTGCTAACTTTTAATAGTGCCCTCTGAGCCCTTTCTAATTGTAATATGGTCGTTTTAGGTGCTCCTCCCCAGATGGTAATGCAATATGTCAACAATGATTGGCACAGTGCAAAATATACCATTTTTCTTACATTAAAATCTGCAACACGACGTAGATTTTTAAAAATATAAATTAACTTACGTATCCTTGTACTTAAGAGGCTAATATGAACGTGAAAGCTTAGGGTGTTATCTATCATTACGCCAAGATATTTTATACAATTCGTTCTAGACAGGGTAGGACAGGAGCAAGGGCTTTCAATTTGGGAGCAGCAGTGAGCTGTAATGTGAAAGTATTCTAATTCAGATACATTGATGTTTTGGTTTCGATCAGATCGATACACTGGCGCTGCCAAGAGATGTTGCTTCTCTTTGCATTTTCTTTCACATATACCTTGGGGAGTGCTCTGAGGAATTGTTCGGATTAATCACAGCCGCCAAATATCATGAAGGCACTACGCGGCAAACCTCCCGATACCATCCACACCATCTGGATGCTTGGCGGTCCACCACTGTACGTTTCACTAGGAGTTTTCTTCCGCGTACGACCTCTCTGTGGAATAGTTTACCACCAGCGATTTTTCCGGACCGATACGACCTGGGGACCTTCAAGAAAAGAGCTTACTCCTTTCTAAAGGGCCGGCAACGCACCTGCAATTCCCGTGGTGTTGCGGTTGATTATGGGCGGCGATAGTCACTTATCATCGGGTGAGCCGCATGCTCGTTTGCCCCCACTTCTATAAAAAAAGATGCGTTGTCACCCGTGAGGACTAAGATGGAATGCCTCGTTTCCAGTAAAAAGGGTTTCCGGTTCTCTACACTCACCATACGAAACACAGCAGCATTAAGCTACTATTTTACGCTGGTATTCTTAGAGAGCGTGGTCCTTCCCTGGTCGACCCTTAACTGCAGCATGGCTCTACCACGTATAAACGACGTCCTTCATTTTTTTTTTCATTTTAAAATTGTTCTCGTAATAATATGATTGTAAATCAATATTCATTATTTTTTTTTTGATAAATAGCTTATCCATTAAAACAAATGTTCAAAAATAATTAAATCGCGCTAATTAAAGTAGTAGTGTGGCCGTGGTAGGAAAATGGGAGATCTCCCGCCGGGCAAGGTGTTCTGCCCGGGGAGCGGCCAACACTCCGTGTGATAGTTCGGAGATGTTCTATATATATGTTATGATTCGGAATGTTGATAGCGTGATTTAGGTTTCGGTGTATTTCGCTTGTGGTGCGACGACAGCGCCGCCACATCACCCCCCTGCTCAGACCGGAGGTCGATAGTGCAGTCTCGTTGTCAACGAATGTGCAAGTGCCAGGAGATTGCCTTGTAGTCTGCGGTGAGTCGAGAAGAAGGCAAGTATTCTGCGAGAGCGCTGTGAAGCAGAGACGAGTAGTAAGGCTCAGAGCCGTGCTGAACACCGTATAGCGCAGAGAGTAGCTTGAAGGAACAGGAAGCATTATTATTCCAGTGCTGCGATGAACCTTGTGAAGCTAGCTGGCTTGCAGGATATGAAGACTGTAGATGATATCTGCTCGGGAGCGGATGGGTGGGTTATTTTTATGACGATGATGAAGCTTGAAGTTTCCGAAAGTTGTTGGTTGCGTGTTCAGATCACGTCGGGTGGTCACCACTGTGGTCGAGGAAGGGAAAAGGGGAGATCTCCCGCCGGGCAAGGTGTTCTTCCCGGGGAGCGGCCAGCGCTCCGACACTAATTTAACTGTAGCTCGAACGCCAGGGTGGCTTCGGTCGTGCAATTTATTAAAAGCAGCACGACGAAAAGGATGTGTGAGAAATGGTCTTGGTCGGCCAGTCGAGGTGTCACATATGACTGTTACTGAAGTGCCAGGGATGGTGACTTTTTCTAGTCTCAGTGATGAACTCCTCTCATGTTCTTTCAATTCTGAATCCATTTCTTGAGAAGTCGATAGGGCGATATAGTCCTCTTCAAGAAATATCGAATCGATTCGAGACATTGTGTCTGCCACGATGTTGTTATCTCCCTTGATATGTCTGATATCTGTCGAAAATTGACTTATAAAAGGCAACTGATTAAGCTGTGTGGGAGGTAATTTCTCTCGGCGCTGAATGAAGGCGTACACCAAAAGTTTATGGTCGGTATATATCGTCGCATGTTGGACTTCTAATATATACCTGAAATGTTGCACACTCTCGTACACAGCAAGGAGTTCACGGTAATACGCGGGCCATTCTGATTGTTTAGCAGTTAATTTCTTGCTAAAATAAGCGAGCGGATGCCAATCGTCTCCTTCTCTTTTCTGCTGAAGACATGCACCTATATGGGTATTTGAGGCATCCGTGAAGAGACCTGCGTTGCAATCTGGGTGTACTAGGACAGTTGCTTGGGACAGGCTCCTTTTGCAGTCTTCAAAACTTTCCTCCAGCTTAGATGTCCATGGGAATGGTTTTGCACCTTTGCTGTTTGTAGAGGTCACGGCATCGATAAGCAGTGCTTGGTGTTTGGCTGCGTCGAGGAGAAAACGTCGGTAGTAGTTTATCATCCCCAAGAATCTTCGCATACCTTGCACTGTTTTAGGAGGTGGGTATTCCACTAAAGCACGGATTCTATCTTCGGGTGGGCGTGTACCTGTTGCACTGATCTTATAGCCCAAAAAGATTACTTCTACTGCACCGAAGATGCACTTGCTTGGATTGATAATGACGCCGTATTCGTGCAGTCTTTGGAACAATGCCCTTAAATGCTGCTCATGTTGATCTCGGTCTCATGAGTATACGAGTATATCATCAACATACGCAAAACATAAATAGAGTCCACGCACAACTTCGTCAATAAACCTTTGAAATGGCTGTCCAGCGTTCCGAAGTCCAAAGGTCATGTAAGGGAATTCATATAGGCCGAATGGAGTTATTAAAGCGGTTTTGCACA